GTCATGAGGTTGTTTACCAATATAAAACAATATGTGTACTGACAGTTTAATGAGAAACTATTTGTTCTGTAAACCTTCATCTAAAGTATAATAAAAACTATATATACATATATATATATGAGAAAAACAAAAACAAAAAAAACAACCAGACTTGTTCTGGGGGAGCTGAGAGGCAGATCCCACCACAGCCAGGCTGGGGGTACAGATGTTAGTGCCCCGGAAAGATAGTTTCTCACAGCCTGAGTGGCTCACCTGGGAGGTCGTGACCTTCGTCCATGGAGTTGGGTGGGCAGAGGCTGGGCAACTACCTCAAGGAGGCATTGTAGAGGGAATTCCAGTGGAGGTTTGGATGAGAAGACCTGGGAGGTTTTCTCACCAAGCTCCCTAGACACACAGACTCTTATCTCCTTATCCTCCAGGGCCGCGGGGTTTGGACACTCTCTGTGTCTGTGCCCAGCCCAGAGCATGGCCCCCAGCAGATGCTCCATAAGTATTGTTGAATGAATAAATGGTTTATCAAGGGACCTGGCACATAATAGGTGCTCAGGAAATGTTCACAGAGTGAATGAACATGCTGTCTTTCTGGCAGCATGGCCGAGATGGATGAGCGGTTCCAGCAGATTCTGTCGTGGCAGCAAATGGATCAGAATAAAGCCATCAGCCAGATCCTGCAGGAGGTGAGCCCTTGCCCGGGGCCTGAGGTGGGGGTCACAGGAAGGATGCACAGGAGCCCGGGCAGAGCATTGATACTCCCCACGGAGCCCTGCTTTAGATAGCGTGTGAGACCCAAGGGGCTTAGTGACATTAGAAAGGATGAGGGGCAGAGAGAGGCCTTCCGGGGATGGTTTCTGATGCTGAAATCTAGCTAGCAGCTCCCCCTCTTGGCTGTAGGCACTCGCTGGCCATCCTGTGGAAGAGAGGGTTTCTACTGTAAGGATATCAGGAGACAGGATGGTGGTCACACTGCTGAGGTCGACCTTTGACTTCTACTCACCTCCAAACCCACTGCACTTCTCTCCGCTTCACTCCCATCTTGGCTAGCCCATCATAGGTGCTTGTGTGGATGCTATTAACAATGAAAGGCTCCTTATTACTTCCTCCCACCTTCGTCCATATTGTCCTCTTCCAGCTTTTTCCCACCACAGCCTCTGCCGAAGTCTCCTTCCTCTGCCCTGGGGTTTGCTCTCCTTGCCTTTCTCTCCCTCCCCGCTTCCTCCAATCTCTTTTTTCTTCCAAAGCACCTGAACTTAGTATTTGTTGGAGTTGTTTGAGGAGAGCTCCCTATTTCTCAGAGAGGGCCTCTAACCTATGGTTCAAAGTGAGCCTCTGGAGCTGCATAGACCTGGTTCAGGTCCTGGTGCCAGTCAGTGCATTTCTCTGAACCTCCCTTTCCTCATCTGCAAAACAGGGAAGTAAAAGCCCCTGTGTCACCAGTCATTGTGGAGGTGCAGTGGGAGATGTGTAAAGAACACTGAGTAAACTCTTAAGTATTATTTTAAAAATTTTAAACAAATGAACTGAAAATTGGCTTCTGTCTCTTTCTGTAAGAAACAGAAAAGTCATACATCAGGTCCTTTTTATGCAGATTTTGTTTTTCCCCTTGGATGGGGGCCTGTCGGGCCACAGTGGCCTCTGCTGACCAGCCTGTGATCTCTGTTGCAGAGTGCAATGCAGAAGGCTGCGTTTGAGGCTCTCCAGGTGAAGAAAGACCTGATGCATCGGCAGATCAGGAACCAGGTGAGTGCTGGGAGCCGTGGTCACCTGCCTGAGAAGCCTGTCCTGTCAGCTTTCAGAGAAATGCAAACGTAGCTCAACAGGATGGTAGTTAAGGGCAGTTAAGGTTTAACTCCTGGCTCTTTCACTTGCTAGTTCAGATCTCACCTCTTGGAACCTCACTTTCCTCATCTGTAAAATGGGTACAGCCACAGAACTTAAGTCAATGGCTGTTGGGAGGGTGCCCTGAGGCAGCACCTTAAAATCCCTTATACCAGGGCAAACGCAACCTGTTCTTGCTGTTTCCCATGATGCCCAGGGCTGAAGGGAGGGCAGCGCTAATGCTCGGTCTCCACTGCTTGGGCGGCCTCTGCACGGACCACATCCCGGTCAGGACTACCTCACTGATGGAAAGCAGCGGACTCAGACCCAATACCCCCATCAGCTCAGACTGAGGGATGGGCTTGAGGGGTCTCTGGGATAGATCGGGTCTCCCACTTGAGTGGGCAGGGAGGCGCCACGAGCCTCCACTGGCCCTGATGTCTGCTGAGGAGCGAGCTCGCCTGGAACGAGAGGCCGCGCGCTCGTCCAGGATCTGCTGCTGACCTATGGGTGGCCTTGGGCAAGTTCTACCAACTCTGGCCTCGGTGTCTGCCTCTGTCAAGTGGGGCTGGGTGCCTGTCTCACTGGGCTCTCATGAGGGTGAGGTGGGGGTCAGCTCAGAAACAGTCCCTGAGGGGGCAGCCTGGCGAGCATGGGGTTGGAGATGTCACGAGCTTTCAGGCTGTGGGAACGCTCATCACGTCATCTTAAGCACACTTTGAATTTCACATTTTCGCATGTTTTTTTCTTTCTGTTCTTTTCTTTTTCAACCAAAACAAACTTACTTTTTTTATTTCCATATTTAATGTCAATCCCCCCTATCCGTACATGAAGCTCATTCCTCTGACCAGGGGTTGGTGGGGTCATAGGGACATAAGGACATAGGGACAGGGTAGAGAGTCAGTGACTGTGGGGTCTGACCACCAGGGCTGAAAGCCCCAGCTACACCCTGAGGGTGTGCAGCAACCCCAGGCATTCTTACCCACCAGGCCACCTGTTCCCTTCAGACCCTGAGCGGGAACATCCCAGGGAAAGGTCTCACTCACCAGCTCTGTGTGCTCTGGCAAGCTACTTACTCTCTCTGAGCCTCAATTTCCTTGTCTGTAAAATGGAGGCAATAAGACCTCCTAACAGTCAGAAGAGAAGTTGAGGAGATGCATATAAAGTACGTAGCACAAGACCTAGCACACAGTAGGTGCTCAATAAATATTAGCTGTTATTATTATTATTATTCAGTCTCTTCCGTTACCCCTGCTGTCTCCCTCGCCTGTGACAGCTGTTTAGAGAAGCCCAGAGATTTTGACCAGTAAGAGGCTCATGATAATTGCATGTCTGTTCTTTTCTCTGGCCTGAATCTTAGAGAGCCACTGATTCATTCCACAAACCTACTTGGAGACAGGACCCGTGCTCGACTCTTGGTCCGCAGTGTTGACCAGGACAGGCCTGGTCCATGCCCCCAAGGCCCACAGGGCCGTGAAGTAACTAATTCTGTGTTGAAACCCCGTCTGTGAGGTTCCCAAGATGTGCAGCTTCCCAGCGTTGCAGAGCCTCCCTCAGAAAGGTTTCTTCAGACCCACTTGGCCATCAGAGCAGCAGCAGCACAAATTGAACCATGGTTGATGTGAATAAAAAAATCCCGTCTCATCTTCTGTTTAGATTAAGTTAATAGAAACTGAGTTATTGCAGCTGACACAGCTGGAGTTAAAGAGGAAGTCCCTGGACACAGAGACACTACAGGTATGTAGGGCTCCCTGGCATGCCCTGTCCCTCCCTCCACACCCCGGCACCATCCCCGCCTCTCAGCAGCTGCTCCGTCAGCTTCTCCAGCAGAGCAAGGGCGGGTCTCCTCTGTGGCTGTGACACTGGAGGAGTCCCCCAGCCACAGAGGCTGATGGGAGTAAGCCTGGGGACCGAGCCCAGCATAGGACAAGGTTAGGGGTCGGGTCAGCCTGTTGCTAGGCAGGAGGGTCAGAGGAAGGAGGGTTTCATTGCCAAGGCTCACCCAGGCCAATATATCCATCTCCACCTTTTCTTTGTTTTGGAGTGGGGTCACTGCTGAGCTCCCTGTCTCTTTAAGCGATGCTTCTGGGCGCTGGTTGCACTCACTGGGCTGACATCCTCTGGGGAAGGAGCTTTCCTGGTGTCCCAAGGATGTTTGGAGAGAGCGCCCAGCTGGTACTGTGTCACTCCCTGCAAGCAGCTTCTTTGTGAGCTCCAGGCTGGTGTCCTGCTCAGAGACGTGAAGGCAGCAGGGACCAGCAGTCGTGTTCTGGACTGAGCATCTGGGACCTGGTTTTGTCCCAGCACAGCCTTGCTGTGTGACTTTGGTGGGTGGGGGAGAAGGGGCGGTCCTTTCCCTTCTCTGGACCTCACTCCCGCCATATGTACAGCAAACGGGGTCAGACGGTATGTGAGGATGTGTACTCCGTGCCAGGCTTTCGAGCAGAGCCTTCTGTCTGTCTCTGTCCCTGTGTCTGTTCTGAGTGGAGATGTCTTAAGTTGTCTCATGGGCTTCTCAATGCAGTGGAAATGTGCTGGGGTCTGGAGTCCTGGCCTCAGGTCTGCCACAGATATGCCGTGTGACCTCGGGCAAGTCACTTCCCTTCTCTTGCCCTCTAGTCCCTGCTCCATAAAATGGAAGTAACCATCCAGGCCCAGCCTGTCTCATCAGGCTGTCAGAGAGGGGTGATCTAGCACGTGGGAAAGCCCTTTGTGAGCCTTGAAATGTTCTTCATAGAGGAGGGGGTTGGGCTGACTCAGAAAAGATGCAACCACTATGCAGGGCGAGTGCCCTTGTCTCCTGCCCGTTACAGCCTGTAGGCCTCCTATTTTTGTGGCCTCTGTGTGGCGTCCTAGGTCCCTGTTCAAGAGCAAGAGATACGTGGACCGTGGCCACAAAGGAGGCTGCAGAGGGTGCAGCTCTGGCTTGCATGTACCTTATTTGCATAGAGCCCTCCTAATTGATGTGGGGGTACACAGTGACCCAGCCTGCCATTTGCTTCTGCTCCATGCTTTGTGGTCAGTGAGACCAAGGTCAATGCCTGTGGCTTGTCATTTCTTTTGTTTGATGTTTCTCACCACTCCACTGTCATCATTCACTAGGATCCCATGTCTGGCCTTAGCCCCTGGGGAAGGGAGATGCAGGCTTGGGAGAAGGTGGGGAGGGGGTGCCAGGGCAGAGGGCCCCCTTGACTTTGGCCTCCAGCTCTCAGCCTAAGGACCGTGGGGAGAGCCTCAAATTCAGTAGGGCTACTGTGGGCCATGGCTGTCAGCTGGAGGCAGTGGCCAGCACTCAATGAGTGAGGACCCGGGCCATGCCCTTCTTGATTCTGACACCATGTAGTAGGGACTCCTGGGCCCAGGGGTGCCGTGAGCTCACGGCTGGGTGTGGTCTGTGTTGCAGGAGATGATCTCAGAGCAGCGCTGGGCCCTCAGCTCCCTGCTCCAGCAGCTGCTCAAAGAGAAGAAGCAACGAGAGGAAGAACTCCGAGAGATCCTGGTAGTGTTTGGCTTCTGTGTTCAGCATCACACATGGGTTTGCTTTCCCTAAACGCACTTGGCTGTTTTCAGAAACATTTTTGTGATTCAAGTAATATCTGTTCATCAGAGAAAAAGTGGAAAGTACAAAGGAAAAGACTTTGAGAGTTATCTACTGCTAACATTTTTTATGTAATTTCTAAAAATTGTAATACATGTTCATAGCTATGTGTGTATGTGCATTTTAAACATACAGTGGTACATACTCCTTTATATCCAGCTTGTCTTCATTTAATAGACTTTAAACCTTGTTTCATGTCATTAAATATTCCTCCACAACATTCTTTTTCGTGGCTGCATTTGGATCGGCCACCATTCATCCAGTCCCCTAGATGAGCATCTAGATTAATCCCGTTTTTGTTTTTGTTTTTCCTTTTATAAGCAGTGCTGTCTGACCATCTTTGTAGCTAAATAGTTGTCAACAGCCATGAGTATTTACTCAGGACAGATTTCCTAGGAGAGGACAGGCTATGTCTAAGGGCAGGCTATTTGATAAGTTTTGGTTTGTTTTTTTTTTAAATAATATTTTATTGTATTTTCAGTGAAAATTTACACAATAAGTTAGGTTTCCATTTATTAATTGCTACACATATTGTTCAGAGGCATTGGTTACATTTTTCACAATGTTTTAACATTCTCATTAATTCCTTTCTAGGTGTTTTACTTGCAGTACCTAACCTGGTTTGCCTGTCCCCTTACCCTTTCATCTTTACTTTAGAGTAATTGTTGACATTTTGACTCATATCGATGATTTTTTAAAGGTGTGCAGTACTCACCAGTAGTAGTCTTTATTTTATGAGCCAATCTGTTATTTAGCTAAAAGGTGCCCTCAGGGGGTAGTCAGAGGGGGATGAGCTAGCAAGTTTAAGGTTTATGAAGTATCTCAGGGCAATAGTCTCGGGGAATCCTTTGTGTTTGATGAGTTGTTGTTTTTTTTTTTTTTTTAATTAAAGAAAATCTGTTTTTATTTATTGCTGACAATCTCTTTTGTAACTTTCTTACTAATGAAAATATGTTAAATTTAAACAGTTCTCTGTATGTCTGCAGTAGCTGTTTCCACTGTGGAAGAGGAAAATTAATAACAGACATCTTACTTTTTGATCTTAGGGTTTTTCTCATCCAGGAAACCAAATATTAACCGTAAAAAGCCTGATCCAAATTGCAAAAGCCTGGCAGAAGCCCCTCTATTAAAAAAAAAAAAAAAAAAAAAACCCAAACCCATTGCTGTTGAGTAGATTCTGATTCCACCTGCAGCAAAGAGACTTTTTGAAGTTTAAATTAGGAGGTAATGGTTTGACAACTATTCTTTTCTAGCAGGATAATACAAGTTTACATTGGTATAGAGCACTGGTAGAGCACTGGTTAAGAGCTGGGCTGCTAACCAAAAGGTCAGCAGTTTGAATCCACCAGCTGCTTCTTGTAAACCCGATGGGGCAGTTGTACTCTATCCTACAGGGTTGCTATGAGTCGGAATCAACTTGAGGGCAATGGGTTTGGTTTTTTTGGTATAGTATCCCCCTTTGCTTTTTCTGCGTTATTTGATTTTTCCGATGGAACCCTGGTAGTGGGATTTTTCATTCTTCGTTGGAGGTCACCTTCATTTTAAAACTGAATAGCCAAAGAAGTTCTCAGTACATTCATTTTCATGAAGAACACTATTTGTTAAGTCACAAGATCAGAATTAGCTTTTGATCTGTAATTCCATGGGTCTTCATCTCATATCAACTATAAAAATTAAACAGTTGCCGTGGAGTTGACTCTAACCCATGTGTGTCAGAGTAGAACTGTGCTCCATAGGGTTTTCTTTTTTCCCTCCCCTTTTTAAAAAATTTTTATTGTTGTGTTTTAAGTGAAAGTTTACAATTCAAGTTAGTGTCTCATATAAAAATGTATACATACATTATTTTGTGACCCTAATTGCTTTCCCTATACTGTGACAGCACACTCCTCCTTTCCGCCCTGGATTTCCCATGTCCATTCGGCCAGCTCCTGACCCTCTCTGCCTTCTGATCTCCCCTCCGGACAGGAGCTGCCCATTTAGTCTCATGTATATGTTTGATGGGAATTGCCAGACTGTCTTCTGTACTTGGATGGGGCTGACTCTGGGGCATTGTCTGGTGGCAGAGCCCCCTTAGAGTTGGCAGGTTGGGGTAGTTTCCTCTCCTCTACCTGCCTCCAGACCCAGAGTGCACCTGAGGGATGAGGAGTGGGGCCGGCCCACCAGCTAGGGCTGAAAAGACTGAGTTGCTCCTTGTCATTTATGCAAACAGATGTCCTCTGGGCTCCATCCTGGGCCAGGCCCTGTGCAGGGTACAGAGCAGAGTGAGACCCAGCTTCTTCTGGGGCCCAGCACACATCCAGATGGTGTGTTTGTGCCAGTTAGAAAAAGCTGCCTGCTCCTCAAGACACCTCACTCACTGCCATCTCCCCCTAAGCCGTATTAATGTGTGAATGGTGCCCTAGAACTGCACAGTAACAGCCGTATGCCCTGTCCTCCTACCCTCACGCAGCCTCTAGGAGAGGAAGCCCCACCTCAGCAGCATGTTACCAGTCAGGAGCATGGGCGTCAGAGGAGAGGGGAGTCCACAGTTGGGGCCAAGGCAGGAAGAGGGGATCAGCGTGGCAAGGTCCAGGAGGGACCACCAGAGGGCAGCCAGGCCTTGAAGGGGATGAGGGAAGTGCTGTGTTGAATCCTGCTCCCTTCATCACGCCCTTCAGGGTACGGCCACAGGCCTGGGATGGGTTCAGAGCACAGGTTTTGGAGCAAGACAGACCTGGGTATGAATCCCGCTTTTTTTCTTTGGGCAAGTTACTAATCACCCTGAGCCTCAGTTTCCTCCCTGTAAAGTAGAATCTACTTAATAGAGTTGTGAGAATTAAGTATAATGACATATTTAATTGCACAGCACAGGATCTGGCATAGAGTGCTTGGAAAACGTTAGCTGCTATTATTATTATTAGTATCATTTGTTCACTGCTTTGTCCCCAGCACCTGGAATGGTACCTGGCCCAGAGCAGCACTTAATAAGTAACTGTTGAGTGAGTGAGTGAATGAATGAATGAATGAATGAATGAATCCTTTTCAATACCATTTTTATAGTTCTCTCTCTTGGGAAGGACAGTGAAGCCCATGCCAGAAGCTGAAGGTGTCTTTAGAACCCTATTTCTCTGCCTTCCTGAGTTTTATGGGATAGAGTGGCCCAAATCTTGGAAAGAGACAAGTGCATAGTGCTCTGCTCTCCCACAAGCAGACAAGGAGGCCACCCTCCCAGCGGTAGTGGTGCACAGAGTGTGGTGCTAGGGGTCAGAGAAGCCCAGGTGCAGCCCTCCTCCTGGCCAGGGGTGTGGCCTGGGACACATCAGTTACCTTCTCTGAAGATCCTTCTCAGCAGTAAAATGGGGATAGGGGTGCTTGCTTCCTGTGATTCTCATTTCAGGAGTTTAAATGGTAAGACAGTAAATGGGCAGGAAAGTTCCATATAAAATACTGAGGGGATCCACACCCTTCAAGGAGGGCAGTTCACAACTTCATTATCGTTATCGATTGTTTTTACCTCCTGACTTGTCACCAACATAACCTGCTTCTCTCTTGACAGACGGAGTTAGAAGCCAAAAGCGAAACTAAGCAGGAAAATTACTGGCTGATTCAGTATCAACGGCTTTTGAACCAGAAACCCTTGTCTTTGAAGCTGCAAGTAAGGATGGTGGTGCCTGCCCCAGCTGGGGGTCAGCACAGTGGTGCCTTCCCCGACATGGGGTCAGTAGGGTGGTGCCTTCCCCCCCAGGGGGTCAGTAGGGTGGTGCCTTCCCCCCCAGGGGGTCAGTAGGGTGGTGCCTCACGGGGTGTCGGTAGGGCTTCATCTTCAGAGGGCCCTGGTGCCCCCAGCAATGCCTGCCTATTCGTCTTTCCAGTTTAATTTAATTTGACTCATATTGCTGGTGGCTCTAGTATGCCATGTTCTGTGCGAGGCCCTGGTAGGGACAGAAATGAGAAAAGGAGTCTTCACTGTGGTGAGGGGAGACAAGCTGCGAGTGACAGCTATACAGAGCAGGGACCAGTGAGCCTCAGTGGGATGCAGCCTGCCGTGAATGCCTTTGTGGTGGGTGAGAGCAGCTGCTTGTGAAGCGCCAGCTGAGAACAGGAAAGGTGGTCCCTATACCCCTCCTCTTTCTCTGTCTCTCACACACACTTTTTAAAAATTTTTTAATAAAAACTGAATCATTCTATACATACTGTTTTGGCAACTTGCTCTTTTCTTTTACCAGAAGACACAGACAGTTCTCCAGGCCTGTACGTGTAGACCTACTTCACTGTTTCCAGACAGCTGCACAGTATTTAGTATATGGCTGAACCCGTGTTTATTCAAACAGCCCCCTCTTGATGGATATTGAACTTGTCTGCCATTGTCAAGTTTACAAATACAGCAGCAGTGACCTTCCCCGTGCGTGTAGCTCTGTGTGCTTACACATGTAGTTTTGTAGGAGAAGCTCCAAGAAATGGAATGCATTTTATAAATTATGTTGCACACTTTTAAACCCTTTGTTCCTGTTGTAAACAGTGGGTTTCTTTTCCTTCCGCTCACTCGGCTTCTGGGTCTGTGTTACAGGAAGAAGGCATGGAGTGCCAGCTGGTGGCCCTCCTGGTGGAGCTGTCGGCCGAGCACTACCTGCCCATCTTCGCCCACCACCGCATCTCACTGGACACGCTGAGCCGGATGAGCCCCGGGGACCTGGCCAAGGTGAGAAGCAGCAGCCCATCAGATGGAGGTTGGGGGGGCAGGTAAGACCACCAGCCTGACTCAGCCAGGGGTTCACTTGCTCTTCTGCTTCAAGATCGCCAGAACAGTACCCCCATCTACCCCCAAACATCTGGGCGTGCCCCACACACCGACTGGCTAAGAAAACCCAGGTTGTGGGCCCTCCTGACCCCAGACTGGCCATCCACATACATTGGAGCTTCAGATTATAGAGCCAGGACATGATCTGGTCCAGCCCCAGCCTACCCCATGGTTTTACAGAGGCTGTAACAAGGTCTCAAGGTTAAGAGCTTGGGCTCTGGAGGCAGAGGGACCATGTGTTGCAGGCAGTGCTGCGTCTTAGTGGCAAGGCCTCAGGAGGTGTCTCTGTTTCCCTGATGACAGTGTGAACTGTGATAGAGAGTCCTGACTTGTGGGGGTGACGTGACATGAGGCAAAGCTGTCAGTGCAGGGCTTGGCAAAGGGAAACACTCACTAAACGGTAGCTGTTCCTAATGTTCGTTTTCCCTTTGGGCCTCAGTCTCTTCCCCCGCTACAGTGACTGTTGAGCCAGGCCCAAGGAGGTCATAGCTGTTGCACTGCCTCATGCTGACCCTGGACCCGTATTGGCCCCCAGAAGGCTTCTGAGTTTCCAGCCAAAGGTGCCAGAGCTGAGAAGCCAGGAGTGAAGCAGGCCTGTAGGCCTGGGCTCATACCTGGTGGCCTGTGCTGCATAGCAGACCCCCACCCAGGCAAGGCCATGACCTGCTCTTCCTTGGACTACCACAGGTGGGCATCTCAGAAGCTGGCCTGCAGCACGAGATCCTGCGGAGAGTCCAGCAGCTACTGGACGCGGCCAGGATCCAGCCAGGTATCGATGCCAGAACCACTCTTAAGCAGAGGCCTAGCCTTATGTGTGGGCTGTGGTTGGGTGCAGTCACTTGCTTACATTTCAGGACAAGTCCTAAAGGCCAGTTCTAGTTCCTGCCAGTCCTAAACGAACAGGGGTAGTGATTAATGAGCCCATTTTACAAATGGGAAAAACAGGCCCCAAAAATGGAAAAGGGGAAGGCTCCATGCAGCAGTGGAGGGCCCTCCTGCCTCCTTGTTACAGAGCTCGGGAACCACATAGCAAGGATGCTTGGGCTAGAGGGATAACCAGCCTATATCCAGTGGCCACCACATTCCTGGCACTGTGCCTGGGCCAGGTCTATAGTGTGGACATGAAAACATGTTTGTGATATGTTGTGAAGGGGAAAAATCAGGTCAAAAAGGCCCTCTGCCCGCATCCAGGAGCCTCAAGAGAAGGTTAGGTGCTGTGGTTGACGTAGGGGGCAGGCATGGGAGTCAGGAGTCTCCTGGGTATCCGGTACGATCCAGGCACCAGATGTTGGTTGAACACTTTACACGTACCATCTCAGGTAACCTTTGTTTCAACCCGAGGAGATGGGCACTCTTGTGATCCTCATTGAGAGATGAGGAAACAAGGCACAGAGCAGGAAAGCGGTGGGAGCAGGATTTGAGCCAGGTGCTCTGGCTCCTGCGTCCAGGCTCTTAACTGCTGGGCTTTCCTGCCTCTCCTGAGAAGAGGTTGAGGAGCCTCAAAGGAACCTGGGCCTGGAGCAGGAGGAAGGAGAGGGGAGGCTTGGGCTGCTGAGCTGGGGAAGGATATTTTCAGGCCAGAGCCAAGGAAAGGGGAAGGGCAGAGGCTGGAGGTAGAGTTGCTAGACCAGATCTCAGGTGAAGGCCTAGGGGGCTAGGATGAGGCAGGAGCTTGGGTGGCCCAGCAATGGGCCGACTGCAGGAACAGACGCGAAGTTTTATAATTTGGCATATTCTGTGCGGAACTCAGAACAGGAAGAATTACGGGTCAAAGCCCTAGAATGGGAGACTCAGAAGAGGCATAGTGAGTCCTTTTAGGAGCCTGATGCGTGAGATTAGATTATTGGCAGGACTGTAGGAGAGTGACGCATATTCATAGAGGCGCAGTCAGCCACCATCTTTGAGCGGAGCACCACCGTCTTTGAATGGGGCAGCACTGCTTCGGGCTGTGCTCAGAATCCGAGGGCAAGAGATTTGGTTGCTATGCAGTGTGTATGCTGCCCTTGTTCTCTAAGAGGGAGATTAAGTTTCAAGCAGGGCTTCGACCCGTAAATTCTCCTGTTCCTGCTATCTTTGCAGTTCACCATAACTTTAAAAATTCAGGTCGGTTCTGGTGATGCTTTTTCGGCCATGGCTAGGCCAGGCAGAACCAGTTCAAAGCCCTGGGAAAAAGTCATTAAACTTCCAGCAAATATGTGATCTCAGGTAATGTGCAAATTAAACACTCCCTCCTATTCCGCCCAGCACTGATCCCTGCCAGCCCTCAGACTAGAGGTCAGGAGGAGTTTGGCGTCAGGACTTGGGGCTCATCACAGCAGACACACCTCACATGACAGAGGATCGCACACGCTTCCTTTACTCTGAGAGGGGTGCCGGCTCCTCGGAGCACCTCAAGTGTCGGAAGCGCTGTATCTCCTGGTCTCCCATCTCCCCTAGAGCTTCAGGAGCCACTCCCAGCCTTGAGCAAACAAGCAGGTTTGGCCACTCCATGGCAGAACTTCCTGTGAGACCCAGCCCTCTGCTGCTCGCAGCTTCCTGATTGTGCCGCTAGCTGTGGCATCTCAGACTGCAGGGAATGGGCTGGGGCAGCATCCCTCATCTCAGCTCCAGGAGGCATGGGAAATCCTCATAGATTCTTCTAACAATCCTCTCATTACCCCAAGAATAAAAACAAACCAAAAACCCGTTGCTGTCGAGTCGATTCCGACTCAAAGCGACCCTATAGGACAGAGTAGAACTGCCCCATAGGTTTCCAAGGAGCGGCTGGTGGGTTCAAACTGCCAACCTTTCGGTTAACAGCTGAACACTTAACCACTATGCCAAGAGGGCTCCACCCCAAGAATAGACATGTGTATTAAATACAGGAGAGCCCCTTTACAGTGATGGTTGAGGGGTAGCACTTAAAAGTCTGGTGTTGTAACAGCTTTTAAAAAATCTTGAGAGGTTTTTTTTTTTTTAATTATTATTATAAGAAATAATACATACTCATAAAATTCAAACCATAGAATAAATGAGTAAAGTGAACCGTGATGGGGACAATGAAAGGGTCAGGGAAGTGGGTGGCGCACATTGCATGATAATAAAAAAATAGGGACTGCATTTTGTCAGGGCTGGCTCTGATGCCCTTTCCAGCTGGGGGTACTCCCACAGGCTATGGGGGTGGGGGGAGGTGGGGGGAGCTCCAAGGCAGGGTGGGGAGGCTGGGGGTGGTGGTGCTGTGCAGACAGAGGTGGGAGGAGTAGAAGGTGGGGAAAAGGAGTCAGCTTTGGGGGCTTTTCCTGCTGAGCTGGCCTTTCCCTGCTCCTTCAGGCCCTGTCCGCCTCTGAGGTGGGGCAGCCCACCCCCTCTCCTGGGCCTCCCAGTGGAGAAGCCCCTCTGCATGTGCCCTGGGCTGGCTCTGAGGCCTGGTGGCATAGTCAGGGGGTCCTGCCCTGCCGCTCCACCATCACATGGCCCTGTAGCCTTGGGCAAGTGACTTCCCCTCTCTGAGTCAGATTTCCCATCTCTAAAGTGATGAGCCCTATTTACAGGATGGCTGTGAAGGATCCAGGGGATGTTGTGGGTGACAGGCCCCAGTTAACAAGTGCTGTGGCCAAGGTTCCTGGGTGATGCAAACAGTTTGTGCCTGACTGTTAATCAAAAGGTCGGCAGTTCAAATCCACCCAGCAGCGCTGCAGAAGAAAGGCCTGGTGATCTACCTCTGTAAAGATTACAGCCATTGAAAACCCTATGAGAGTGCAGTTCTACTCTGCAACACATGGGGTTGCCATGAGTCAGAATTGACTCAACAGCAATAGGTTTGGTTTTTTTGGTGGCCTTCCTTGCTAGCCTCCCCACAGTCCTATGAGATGGGAAGACTGAAGAAAGTTCACTCCCATTTTACAGATGGAGGACTGAGGCTTAGAGAAGATAAGACCCCCTCCCCCGATTCTGAGATCAGACACCCCCTGCCCACCCTCTGTCTCACTGTCCATTTGGGGACAGGCAGGGCCAGGGCAGCCCTTAGAGTTGGGGATCATCAGGGGATGACCTTGGTCAGCCTGTCCCTCTGGTCCCCACAGAACTGCTGAAACCACCCAAGGGAGAGGTCCTTGGGCCCCCAGTGTTCCCCACCGCCCCCCAGGAGCCTCCTGAGGTGGTAAGGCCGTCGGCTCGTCCCGCAGAGCTGGGGGTGCAGACCTCAGAATGTGTCGTGTGCCTGGAACGGGAGGTAAGTTCTGGGACAGCGGGGCCAGATCAACCCACGAACCCACCATCCACGGTCCTCCTCACCCCCGGCCCTGTGCCCACAGCAGTTCTCCTGAGTGTCCCCAACACTTCTTCTGGTTGTATAAGTATATTGTATTCATTAGGAATTTTGGAAAATACAGGAATGCAAACAATACAGGAAATAAAAATGACCCGCAATCCCGTGACCCGAATATGAACAATGGTAGCATCATTTTCTGGACCTTTTTCCTCCTTTCAGAGAAGGACTTTTCCCCCCTTAATAAATACATGAGGGAAAATCTCTGAAGTTGTTAAATACTCAGCAATCTGATTTTCCTTGAAGAGGCTTTTTATTTTTTTTCCTTTTTTACCACCTTTTAAAAATTATTACAACATTAATGCTTATTGTAAAAGTCAAACAAGAAAACCGTGTACAAACTAAAAAGCCTCCCTTCCCTCCACAACCTGCTCCTACTTAGAAGAGGTGACCACCGTTAGCAGTCTCATTCCCCTGGGTCTTTAATAGACCCAGGGCGTGCCATGAGACGGAGGCACCAGTTGGTTATACATTTAAGCAAACACCTGCTGTTGGGCCCTTCAGGTGGCTTCCAGTTTCTTGATATTACAAACACTGTTGTATCAGACAGCCTTGAACATACAGTTTGGAGCACGTCCTTGATCATCTCCTCAGGAGAAACTCCTGAAAAGAGGAAATGCTGAAGCGAGGGTTTGAGCCGTAGGGGTGGAGTCGTCTTTAGAACGGCCCTTCTTTTAGAACCAAGAGTACAGGGGCTGGACAAGTGCACACAAAGCAAAAAATTGCAGACAACCTAAATGTCCAGCAGCAGGGGCTAGTTAAATAAGCCGAGCTCCTCCAGACAGAGGGACACTGCGTAACTCTTACTCAGAGAGGGACACAGAAATGTCCAAGACGGGTGGTGAGGCAAAGAAAGCCAGTCATAGGACACGCACAGAATATAGTCCTGCTATTGTTTAAGAAAGAAAGGAACGGAAGGAAGGAGGGAGGAAGGAAAAGAAAGGGGAATGTACATATTTATATTCCTTTTACAAAATATGGAAAAAAATATCAAACTGTTAACAAAGGCATATGATTTTCACACTCCACAGTATGTATTTCTGTGGTGTTTGAATGGTTTATAATGATCCCACTATCAGATTTTTAAAATGAGGGACAACAGTGGGTCCGGGGTCTAGGAGTCCGTTGCCCTGCCCTCGGGGTACCACGGGGCCGGGCCCATCCACTCTGCTCTCTCCTCAGGCCCAGATGATCTTTCTCAACTGCGGCCACGTCTGCTGCTGCCAGCAGTGCTGCCAGCCACTGCGCACCTGCCCGCTGTGCCGCCAGCAGATCGCCCAGCGCCTCCGCATCTACTACAGCAGCTGAGCGCCTCCACCAGGCACCAGCACACCCCTGCTCTAGCCAGACTAGTATGAGGTCCCCACCCCCATCCAGGCCTCTTTCCCTGCAGCCTGGGAGGGTGCCACCCCCTTGATCTCCAAGCATGCCAGGGCCGGGGGTGGGGTGTTGCTGGTCTGAATACTGTGGACGAAGAGAGAGGGGTTAGTTGGTCTCCTGGTGCCAGAGCCCCTCACTGCCGGGGACGGGCATGGAGTGGCAGCTGTGCCACCCCTGAGCACGAGAGTGAGTGTCCTGGCCAAGTCAGGGTACCACCACTCCCCGACTGTGGGACCATGGGCAGGCCACTGCATCTCCAGGAGCCTTGGTGTCCTCATCTGTAAAGTATGGGGGTGTGGTGGGAGTGCGGGAGGCCCTGGCCAAGGATGCAGGGCCACATGTTGAGCTGGTGTGCACACGGCTGCAGGCTGCGGGGCTGTGCTCGGATTGACCAGCCCGAATGTACTGAGTGCAGGCCCTGTGCCACAAGCAGAGTCGCCCCCACCCCCC